AATATAATAATAAATATAGTGTCATTAAATTCCACCAAAGGCAAACCAAAAGGAATATATTTTTTTTAAATGGTAACTTTCTTACCATGACTCAATATTAAAAATGGCAGTTTTGTGGCTCCACTTAAAATCAGCTCTAGCAGTACCAGTGGTGTCTGCCTCGCACTTTGGGAAAAACTGAACTAAATGGATAATGATACAGTACTGTGATGTAAGTCAAATTACAGCATAGGCTATAAAATTCAAATTACCAGCCCTTCAGGCAGGATGCATGACACATTAACAAAGTCTGCCTGAGATTCTTGGATAGCAAGATAATACTATGGGGTAATACCTTTTCTTACATATCCAGAAGTCGTTTCCCTCAAACAGCTAAAAATCACTTAGCAGAGAATACAAACATACAGTCCAGGCATTAAAATGTTTGCATTTTACCACAGAAAACTGCTTCAGACCTTAATTCAGGGCCGTAAGGTTTCTTTAGGCAATTTAACACCATATTCAGATACCAATTTCTTACACTCCAGTCAGCTTTTAATCTGTGTTTATAGGAAACACCTCATTTCTTTTATTCCAATTTTATTTTAGCTATTTGCCTGATTAAAAAAGTAATCCACTGTCAGAACATGAGATATCTGTCACTTTCCTCGCCTCCTGCAGGGTTTGTGTGAAGTGGTGCCTTACCCCAGTCCTTCTCAGGATATGGCTCAACCCTGGCAAGTGAGGCCTGTCCATAGTCGGCCCAGTGCTGAGCAGCAAAGCCAGGGCTCCCACTCAGAGTCCTGCCTGCCAAGCATGTCCAGCCATTTTGGAGGCAAAACCATGCTCATCCCAAGCCTCTCTCTTTTTACCCCAGAAAAGTCTCCACAGCCCATATATAAGCTCCAAGCACTGCTCTCTTTCTTCCTAAGCTCCTGTTCTCTTTTCTAATACAACACACAATCCCCTTGACTTTGTGCCTGAAATAGCAGAAAACAAAGCCACAAAAGTCAGGGTTTGGAGGTCTTGGTAGTTCTTCTTAGCATAGGACATGGGCCTATAAAAACTTCGTTCCTCCTCATTTATAGATTTTTCTGGAGACAAACACAAAACTTGTCTTTTCTCCCTCACTTGAGGTAGGGAACACCAGGACAGGTATAATATTTCTCCTGGAATGAAAGCCAACTGGAGCTTAGGTTGGTAACAGCACCTTACCCATTGACCAGTAATATCCTGATTCCACACGAGAAGGTACAGGGCTGCCGGGAGCTGAGCAAAGTCATGCTCATAACTACGTGAAGCAGCTGAAGGAACATTAGTGGTGAGTTTTGGGTAGTGATGGCTCACATCTTGTTACTTAGCATGTTCAGTGGGATCAACAGGGTTGGCAGCCACTGGGGACTTCTTAGCAAAGCAAAATCTCAAGCCCCTCTCCAGACCTACTGCATCAGAATCTGTATGGTAACAAAATCCTATGGTAATTCATCACATGTTCAGGTTTGATGAGCATTAATCCAATGACTTGAGTGGTCTGGTATTAATATCCTGCCTCCCACCTCCCCGGCCAAGCAATGTTCTCTGGAAAATCAGGAATTGAGGAAGCCAGTGAAGGTCCTACCATGACAGAGACAGAGACAGCCCTGGCTATAGAACAGCCTCTCGACCATGGAGGAGCAGCCTCAGCACAAGCAACGGAAAACGAGAGGCTCCCACAGGCCTCCAGACTTAAACCCGAACCCTCACAAATGCCTGTATCCATACAAACGAGGGGTTTTCACAATGCCTCACAGGCTACAGACATTGCAACCCTTATTTACCCACTCAGTTGCCTAGGAAATTCACATTAATGTGATTTTATCTATCAAAAAAAAATAATAATGAGATAGAACAGTGAGATTGTCTGACCTGGAAATAGCTCAAGAGCCATGTTCCTGTTGGTTAAGCTAAATGATGACCTTGTTCTGCTCTGTCCACACACACCACACACATACAAAACATACCATACACACCACACATACAATAAACACAATACACCACACACACACCATATACACAACTCACACACCACACACATAACACACATCACATACCATATACATAACTCACACACCACACACAACACACACATCACACACACACCACACATCCATGCTATTGAGCCAGAGTAAGGTTCTAACCAATAGGGGAAGGGGCAGCTGACTCCTCTCAGTATTTCTAAGTGAGCCTGATAAGAAGGTGACAGGATCTATAGGATCTTTCACAAAACTCTCAACACCTGCAGAAGGAAAAGAAACATTTTGTATCTTGACACTGACTTCAGAGAAAACTTAATTTCTTTCATCAACATGCAGGAAGGTATAAAGGGACACATGGGAAGAAGCATGTAGCCCTTCCTTTTTTTTTTTTTTTTTAAAGATTTTATTTATTTATTTGACAGAGAGAGATCACAAGTAGGCAGAGAGGCAGGCAGAGAGAGAGGAGGAAGCAGGCTCCCGGCTGAGCAGAGAGCCCGATGCGGGGCTCGATCCCAGGACCCTGAGATCATGACCTGAGCCAAAGACAGAGGCTTAACCCACTGAGCCGCCTAGGCGCCCCAGCCCTTCTTTGTAAATAAGAATGTTTGGCAAGAAACAGCTGATATGAGAACTGGTAAACAGGGCGGCTGCCAATGCCGACTTCCCACAGAGCGGCCCAGTCACGTCAGACTGGCCATCTTCATGTTCTACGTGTCTCCTCTCCCAAACAATTAAAGCCAGTACTTCGCCCCCTTCTCAAGGATTTCTGGACTCCTGCTTATTTTCCTTTCTAATGCCAATTTCAAAATCGCTCTTCTATTTCTTCAGATCGTGTATTTCAGTGACCATTTTCCTAAGTCACTGCTTCCTTGCAGAATTAATAGCCAGCTACTCTTTATGATGGAAATGATTGCTGAGACAAGGGAGAGCAGTTTCAGTGATATATACATTAGATAAATGTGATACAGGACAGCCTTAGTGGCAACTCTGGCCTCAGATGCCTGTCCCATGTCACACTCTGGGTGTAAGGGAAGCCACATCTATGCTGAGGGGGGAGGCCAAGCTTTGCAGGGCCCGTCTCCCCTGTCCTGCGGCAACTGATTCTTGGGCTGTCCAGGGACCTGGAGTTTATGGTTTATATTTGGCTTTTTTAAGAAGATGAGCTGGGTCAACCACTTCTCACTTAGAAATATGTCACTGGCAAAGAGATGCCACAGCAGGGGCAGAAGCCAAAAAGTGCATGGAAAGAGACCACAACCATTTGGGCCTGGAGAGGCCAGTTTCAAGAGAGCAGATTACCCAGGAAGGAAGAACAGAGCACAGACCAGCAGAAGCAGACACACTGCAAGACAGAGAGAGGCCATGAAACTCCAAAGGTGGTCAGATGTCGGCTCCAGGCCAATGCTTCTGGAATGTTAGCTCCACCCCCCATCCTTAAAATCAATACCCTCTACCTAAGCAGATCTGGGTCCTCTGCAACCAAATAAGCCACTCCAAAACACACTAAATAAGTGAATTTATTTTTCATTGAAAAAAATATATATTATTTTACTTTTACCATTACCTTCAAACTAAGAAATAATTCTCAAGAAAAATAAAAGTAGACCCTATGTCAAGAACATATAGCCTGGCCTACGGACCGTTTCCAATTCCAATTCCAATGGGATCTGGCAGATGACAGAAATTTCACAGCTGTTAAAAGTAGAAGGTGGGGCGCCTGGGTGGCTCAGTGGGTTAAAGCCTCTGCCTTCGGCTCAGGTCATGACCCCAGGGTCCTGGGATCGAGCCCCACAGCGGGCTCTCTGCTCAGCAGGGAGCCTGCTTTCTCCTCTCTCTCTCTGCCTGCCTCTCCGCCTACTTGTGATCTCTGTCAAATAAATAAATAAAATCTTAAAAAAAAAAAAGTAGGAGGTAAAATAATTTTTCCTTCAGCACATTTTCTATCAAGTACTGATTATCACTGCTGTCTTAGAACAGTGACCCACCAAAAAAAAATCCCTATCTGAGCCTTGCACTTTCTGTGGAAGACATGAGAATGAAAGATCGAGACCTGAGATTCACTGAGAAGAAACTTGTAGATTTTTGTAGGGAAGCAAAAACAAAACATGAAACAGGTATGTAATATGAGAGAGAAGGAAAAGGATCATCATTTCTATAAATAATTCACAGCACACTGGGGCCTATCCCGAGGAAACTATACCAGTCTTTGTGAGAACTGAACCCCTTCACTAAAGACAGGACCACTGGGAGCTGCCGTTTTAACTGAAAGTAATTAATTGTGTATGCCGTGACAGGCAGGGGTACCAGTCCATTCCAGGAGTGCTGTTGGGGCTATAATACACGAGGTTAAACCAGGGTACCCATTCAAAAGTGAAAGGCTAAACAGACTATAAACCTAGTAGAATGTTAAAGTAAAAAAGGAAGCGCTTCATTCTCGTGAAATCTGGAAATCAAAATAAACTCACAAATACACCACACAAACTCAAGTGAGCAGAACCACCAATGGCCCAGTTAGAAATAATTAAGCTGACAGAGAGGCCGGACAACAAGCTGCTCTGTTCACTACAGGGAAACAGATTCTCACAGGCATGTACCAGGCCACTGAGCCACAGCCAGAGGAACCAAACTCCCCCAGGACGACTGCCCCTCACCTCAGCAGCCTCTGAGCACTGGACAAATGACCACACCAACAGCTCTCAATGTCATGTTCAGTAAAACAAGGTGGTTGGGTTATATTATCTACCAGTCCCTTCTCTGAATCAGACTGAACCTACTTTGAGAAAATTATCACCTAAAAACTGTGTTATGAAATACCTCTGGTAAATACCCACAAGCTGACTAAACCATTCAATAATGCCATTAATTTCATCCCCAAATTTATACATAGCTTTCCCATATCCATCAGAAAAAGCATGTCCAACAGCATTCAACCAGCTATATTTACTCAAAATCATGCCCAGCACCAAGAGAGATAAATGGACAATTCAAGTGGAATCTTTTTCTTACCATTTCGAGACACGTCAAGTTCCACCAGCTGCATGAAGTTTGCTATTTCTGGAGGGAGCCGCTGAATTTCATTATCACTAAGTCCAAGCTTTCGTAATTTGACTAGCTGGAAAAATTGCTGAAAGAGAAAATAATTTCATATGGGTCTCATATATATTTGCAATGTAAACTTTCTGCCCAATATGAAATGTAAAAGAATGTCTTTTAAAAACTAGTGAGGATTGTATCAATATCAGTTTCCTGATTTTGATATTTTAACAGTCATGTAAAGATACTACCACTGGGATAAACTGGGCACAAAGGACATCTCTGTGCTATTTTTGCAACTTCCTATCAATCGACAATTATCTCATAAGTTTTAAAAAATGAGTTAGTACCTCAATGAGAACGGTGATTACTCCTTTAAACTATCCAGTGGGTGGTCACATTTTCTACTTCTAGAAACAGATAATAAATCTGCAGTGTTAAATAAACAAATGTAAAAATTAGAAAATATTTTTAGAAGACATTTTAATAGGAATTACTGTGCATCAGAAAATATATAAATATCCCACAAATGTGTAAAGGGAAAAAAATTGTTTTTGACCAATCTAAAGCAGAGCCTGCACCGTACACTTCCATTAACCGTGGCACACTAAGCACACGCCTTTTTCCCCACACCTCAGTTGGTTAACCCACACCTTTTAAAAGTGTACTAAAATGACACTAAAAGAATACAGAAATGAATAAAATATAAAAATATGAAATAAATGCATGAAGACAATTAAAAATAAGAGGGGACAAGAAGTACACCAGACATGCCACAAAATCCTCGAAGCCAGAAAACAGATGAACAAATGGGAACTAACAAAAGAATCCAAACAAAGCTGAAATTCAAGCCTATGGAGTGAGAAGTCAATAGGAAATTAGGTCCAGGCGACCTCTGAGAAGGAAGAACTGGTTGAAAATTTATATAAAGAACAGTTGGGTCCCCATATCTTCTTCTCTACCCTGCACAGCCAAGCAAGAGAGTGGCAATTTCCTCTCTAGGAGAGTTGACTTTAAAGGACAGCTGAGGGCAGGGATGAGGCCTCCTACTAAAAATAGGGGGACTTGGGGCGCCTGGGTGGCTCAGTGGGTTAAAGCCTCTGCCTTCGGCTCAGGTCATGATCCCAGGGTCCTGGGATAGAGCCTCCGCATTGGGCTCTCTGCTCAGCAGGGAGCCTGCTTCCTCCCTTCTCACTTTCCGCCTGCCTCTCTGCCTACTTGTGATCTGTCTGTTGAGAAAATAAATGAAATCTTAAAAAAAAAAAAAAATGGGACTGATCAAAGCCCAATCAGTGAGATCCCACCCTCTTCCCACAGCCAAGTTCCCAGGCATGAGAAGAGACCCTGTAGATGTGAATTATAGTAGAGAGAAGTCCCAGGTTGTAAGCCTCACCCATGCACACAGAGCTTCCAACCATCTCCACGCCCCTACCGCGCCTTTCAAGTGTCTGGATATTTCATTTAATCAAAGCCAAGGTTCTCTAGACACTTGAGGAAAGCCCCTAACATGCACGAGAATATCCATGTCCCTTCAAATATGAAAGAAATAGGATGTGGGAGGCAAAAAAAAAAAAAAAAAAACTTCATCAACTGAAAAATGTAAGTAACACCCTCAGAGAAATAAGAGAAAATGAAGCAACATGATACCATAAAAAGGAAGCTTCAAAGTAATAAGCTTTTGGAAATAAAATTTAAAAAAAAAAACTGTAGCATTAAAAAAGAATCCAATAAAAGAGGTGAAAAATAAAATTAACAAAATCCCTCAGAAAGTAGGATAAAAAGACTATAAGACAGAGATATGGGACAGAAAAAGACATGAGATCGGTCCACAAGGTACGATATCCAACTAACAGTTATTCCAAAAAGAGAGCACAGGGGACTTCGAAACATGCATTTTCTGGTTTGGAAAAGTCCACCACATGGCCAATAAAATTAATGATAGAGACATGGAAGAATACCAAGAAATATAACAATTCAGAATACCAGAAATAAGAAGATTCCAAAAGCTCCCAGAGACCAGGGGGGGCTAGGTGGGGGGTCATAATGAAGAACTGGAATCAGAAAGGTGCTGGACTCCACAGCAGCCTTGAAAGTTAGAAGGCCTTGGAGCAATGCCTTCAAAATTCCAAGAAAACATTATTTCCAACCTAAATTACATATCCAACAAAACCACAATCAAGAACGACGACAAAATAAAGACATTTTTAGACATGCATGGTTTTAAAACAATGTATCTTCCTTGCACCCTCAGGAATCCATTAAATGTGAGCATAAATCTCAAAGGAGGATGATCTGATATCCAGCAATCAGAGAATCAACAAAACAGAGACAAAAGAAATTCCCAGGATAGAACAGTGAAGGGACTTCCAAGATGTTGGCTGAGTAGCAGGCCCTGGGAGGGACCAGTCCACACTGCAAACAGAGAGGCTCCCAGAGGAAAGATTGTTGGGGGCAAAACACACATCTTTGGGATTATCTGATGTGTTTGAAAGTATCAAGAAGATTTGTTTATTGATAAATTAGAAACAGGGGCACCTGGGTGGCTCAGTGGGTGAAAGCCTCTGCCTTCGGCTCAGGTCATGTTCCCAGGGTCCTGGGATCAAGCCCCACATCGGGCTCTCTGCTCAGCAGGGAGCCTGCTTCCTCCCCTCTCTCTGCCTGCCTCTCTGCCTACTTGTGATCTCTCTCAAATAAATAAATAAAATCTTAAAAAAAAAAGAAAGAAAAGAAAGTAAGCAAAAAAGGTAGGAGTTATTAATTTCAGGAAAAATATAAAGTATGAGAAGACATATTCACAATATAAATTTAAGACCTGATTATGAAAAATATTTAGTTGTAATGTTTTAATAGCTACATATTGATAAAAACGAAATTGGTGTTACGTCAATATTTAGAGGATAGAGAAGAAATCCTAAGTGTTAAAGTCTCATTTTCCATGGAAAGAAATCAAAAGATAACTATAAAGTGAAAAAAAATCAAACTAAAATTAGCAAGCTTAGCAATGTGGGGGCATACAACAGTAGAAACAGCTTAGAGCTGGGGGTTCTCAAGAGCCAGAAACTGGAGTGGGGACAGGGAAGGCAAGAGGCTACTCTTCTTCCCTGTCACACTAGGCTTATTGGATTAAAAAAAAAAAAAAGTGATTTGCATATATTACTTCGCTAAAAACAGAAATTGAATTTACAAAGGAAAAAGTCTCTGTAAGATTATAGGCTGCTCCAAATGAATAATTCTGAAAGATGCTAACAATTAATAAATGTCAGTTTTGGTTTTTTTTTTTTTTTGGTAAATGAGACTTTTTACTTCTATAATCAAAAAGAAGACACTAACAACACTTGGGAAGCAGTAAGGCGATACATGGAACATAAGCTTTCAAGTTCACTGACATTTTTTTTTTTTTAAAGATTTTATTTATTTATTTGACAGACAGAGATCACAAGTAGGCAGAGGCAGGCAGAGAGCCCGATGTGGGGCTCAATCCCAGGACCCTGGGATCATGACCTGAGCCGAAGGCAGAGGCTTTAACCCACTGAGCCACCCAGGCTCCCCAAGTTCACTGACATTTTAATGATACTTTAAACATCTGTCCTTGCAATATAATTGAAAATAAGAAAAACAAGCTATAATGCACAAGATGTCTTTGCATTATCAACAAAAATGAAAAACTTGAAAACACACATATCAAAGAAGGGAAATGGTTAGCATGTTATTAAATAATTCAATACTAAGTGACAAAAAGGATTACTATGAAGACCATATAACTTGAAAAAGACTTAGAATGCAAATATAATTTTAAAAAGACAAAAATGCAAGTACATGATGTAAAAAAAGCATGTGTGCACGTTGACAGGAAGGAAACACAAGAAAAAAGTGGTTTCAGGTGATAAGGAAAATGCATAAACAGCTTTAAATTATTTTTTAACAAAAAAGAAAGAGATTTTTAAATAAAATGATGAATCTCAGAAAACAAATGCTACCAATTAGCTGTATATGATAATGAAAGTGCTCCAAGAAAGGACTAATCCCTTGGATTTCTTTAATCATACAGTTGAGATTTAATTTCTTAAGAAAGGTATTGAAGTTTCTTGATGCTGGTTGTATGAAAGCATTAGCTGACACAAAAGCCATTCAAAAGAGTCACATATTTGAATAATTGAGCTTATGCCAATTGTTCAAAGAGGCTGACAGTTTCATAATGCATCAATGTGTTTACTCAAGCATGAAAACCTCACTTTATTTTCCAGGAAAGATATAATAGCAACAGGACAAAAACATCACCAATTCCATACATTCAGGGACCATTCAGAAATAATCCAAGAAATCAAGTCACTAAGGTACTTCGATCTGCAGTGAATAATAAGTATGTTTTACGACTGTGGCAACAACATACAAATCCTCATAGCCAGTAGAAATCATAACAGCAGGCAAATTAAAGTTTTGTTCTGCATGTTAAAAGCACCCTCAAGGAGACTGTCACAAACACTACCTTCTTCAACTTGGGAAGCAGATACCAGACATAAAACGACCCTATCTGACAGGTTCCCAAAATGAAAACAGTAATTCCTAAGTCCTTCCTTCACTGCCCTGATAGGATCTTAATTCATCATCCAAATGTTTTATAACTATTTTCTTACAAGACGGACACAATGCCTCTGAAACTTTATGAAATCCTCAGGTTTTCAATGTCCTCAGGGTGAAAAAAAATCCAACAAGATCTAAGCTCTTCTGCCTCCTCTTTGACATTAGCCAGGGCACAGGAAGAACAATTCACGTAGCTGTCTTGGCAGGGCGCCAAGCGCAGAGCGATCATGTGATGCAATACACAGACACCATTCTTCAACTATACCATGTTTGATTACAGCACACTGGCCCACTTTAGAGGACACTGAGTACAATTACATGCAAAGGAACCCAAACGGCCTTGGCTCGTTAGGCCACACCACAGTCTTCTTATAGCCACTCTTGCTTTTAGTAGATGCAGAGTCTTTAATTTGGCTGTACAGCTCGTTTCCTTTTCCCTTTTCTGACAAGATTCTTTTTCCCTCTCTTTTGGTAGACTGTTGGTGATCTCCTTCTTCTTAAAAAGGGACA